AAAAATTTTGAAAATTCAAAAATCCATTCTCGTCGATGAACAACCTCACTCGTTACGCTCTCAAAATATTTTTCCTACATTCATTCCCCTACGTTACAACGACATGACGTCACGTGTGGATATCGACACACCAACCGGAAAATAATAAATGATACGTGTGATGCAAATACAGTTCTCTTAGAAAGTAGCAAATTTTGGCGTCCTTATAGTATATATAAATTTATGTTATGTACAAGGAACATCTAACATTGTAGTGGCTAGAGTATTTCTTTTTTACATCTTCATCGTCGTCAATTCATATTGAGCCGTCACTTTCCTCCTCTCTTTTAACGACTAGAGATTCTTCATTATCGACTAATTAGCGAAATGCATCGCTTTGATTCCTTCATGCAAAATTTGATTGAAGTTTCGATTGATCGCTTGTTTTATCATTTTTCTTTTTATGTTTCATAAATATTTACCAACGTCCACCGAATATATTGTAAAAAGTTTCAGGGAAGGCGCTGTTAATTTTTATTTTATTTATTAAAATTCAATTAATAATTATTAAGATTACGAAGATATTTCTTTAAAATCCTTATATATTTTTACTGTAAACTATGTTTTTTTCATTAATCAATTACTTTGTTTATAAAAACTCATAGTTTTCGGCGCATTTCAATTCTCTATTACATTTTGTTCTGCAAAAATGCATTTTAAACTTTATATTTTCAAGAGATTATTCTTTGAAGAGATTTAAGTATTTTATGAGAGATTACAAAATAGATTTAAAAGTCGTATGTCCTTAATTTATATTTTTTTCTCAGCTGAGTATAACAATCTCTGTCTTTCTAAATTCATAATTACGCATTTTCATATTCGGTAGACTCGGCAATTTCGGCTCAACCATCCCTCAGTAGTGAGGAACTTCTCTTCAATACCCCCCTCCGTTCGTCCGGAGCTCACGTTCCCTGGGACATCCTGCATTAACCCGTCGAAGTGTCAGTAGCCATTTCTTCAACAGGTCTGTGGCAAGTCGCCTAGAGCAAGGTCGATGCCGTGAGGACATCTGGGACGACTGGCTTCGGAGGGGGGTCCAAGCATCACACTCGCATCTCGCTCATTGCCGCCTGCGACACGCGACTCGAAACTGTCGCGCTTTGTAGAAGAGGTTGATTCTCTGGTGGACTCTTCGCTCTGGGCGGTGGAGGAGCCCGTGGAACCGTCAAATGGATGGAGCCATTTGGAGGACCCTAAAAAATAGAAAAACCACCTTGAAATTAATTTTATAATAGACTAGAAAAAATTTTAAAGATGTAATCTTACTTATAACTTATATCAGTCACGAAGTATACTTATAACTATTATTACATATTTTTAAATAAAAATGTTATTATATTTCTTAAAGTACAATATGATTTGTAATTTTATTATAAAAATTTTTGAATCAACTTATATATTATATGTGCACATATAATATGTAATTTTTTTTTTTAATTGTAACTTTAAAATAAATTAATAGTCGCTTACTTGAGTTTGCGTATTCAGGTCTTGAATAACTGAAGTTCGGGGAAGGGTGGCATGTTGTTGCTGATGCTGTTTTTGATAATGATGTTGATGAGGCAGTGTATGAGTTCCTTGGCTTTGAAATGTAACGCTGGAATCGTTAGGCGGACCTTTCATTACATTCCTATAATAATAGAAATTTTTCGTAAAAAACTAACATAACATATAGCATATTAATTAATTATTATATTATAATATAGCATATTAAATATTATCGCAATCGAACAAAAGTTCTATGCCAAAAGTTCTATGTCAATAAAAAACGAACGTTCACATATTTTTTTTTGTCTTCTCAGTAAATATACGATAAAAAAGTATATTTATAATCTTTTATTATTTTTTATTTTATTAATCAATGATAATATAATCAATGTGAAATAACGAATAAACAAGAAATTAAATAAACATTTTGATACCTTCTTAACATTTCATTTTCAACGTCGACGATCACTTGGCCCCCACCGGCGTAATGAGAATGTGGGGGTGGCGGCTGTTTCAGTTCAGTAAAGCCACGAGGGCCACATTGTTGATTCAACATCTGTTGCTGCTGAAGGCTCTTCACTTCAAGCCGCGTTTTATCCCTCTGATAATAAACGCCCGCAAATATCAGAACGTTTAAAATCAGCAGGCTGCAGCCGATCGCGATTGTCACGCTTAAAGCCGTTGAATACGCTGCGTAACTGCACATAAAAATTTCCTAATCATCATCTCAATCCGTGCCCTGGAAAAATTATGTTGCAAAAGAAATTAGATTTTGAAAAATATTACTTCTTTTAATGATAATTTATTCTTTATATAAGTTTACTTAAGTAGAGAAATCGGAATTCCGTTAGTTAATAAAATTCGCAGCAAGTCCTTCATCTTCAAAACTACTATCATAGTGGTACAGGTGTACTTCAACGTGTAATGTGCACCTGCCCAACTATCGTGTATGCCGTATAGAAAATATTCATGGCATGCAATTTTCATGATTATGAGATATGTTCGTGATACTGTGGCTATGACATTTCATCTGATATTATTTTCTTATGAGCGAGGTTTTATTAAACAAGCGAGATCAGCGTAGAATTCACTGCATAGTAGTGACATGTTGGGAATTGCCGATAGACTCGAAGCAAGATAAAGAGCAGAGTGCGCCTCAGCTTACGCTGTTAACGGCACTCAGTCCTGCTGAATTTTTTAAGCACATCGCAGAGGGCAATAAAAGACAAGAATTTTGTCAAAGATAACGATGTATTTTCTAGATTTGCGAATCACGATACAGTTATTTTATTATTATTCTATTACATTCTATTACATTCTTTTGCTCTTTATCGTGAGAGACACGTTTCCATGCACATTCTGTTTCATAGTTAGTATAAAAGTATACAAAAAAAGTATACCAAAAAAGATTTGAATTTCGTTGAAACTGTTATTTATTTCACTTGCTACACGATCTTTATCCTTTGCAAAAGGACGTCAATATAAAAAATAGTTGCAATACAATATTGTTCATAAAAATGATATTTACTGCAAAAATCGATTTTAAATCTGTGAAAATCGATTTTAAATCTGTGAAAAGAAAGAACTTTTAGCTAGTAAAAGTATTAGAAATTTGCAAAGCAATTTTTACAATTGTTATGTTATTGTGAAGCAGGATAATTACCCAGCAGCGTCTAAGCTGGCTAAGGTGTCGGTGCTGGCATTATGGACGTTTTGAAGATTGGTGCCCGGAATAAGGCTGACGCAAGTTGTAATGCTGTAATCCGTCGTGGTTGGTGGATCCGTGCTAAGATTTTTCCTCTTGAATTCTTCGCTGATCCTGCTGAGAGGATCCGGTCTCACGAAGCCGTCGTACAGACTGGGGTCGCTATGGCCACGGAACAAGTTGTGCCTGGAATCGACATCCTCCATTCCAGCACGATGAAGCTCTGGGACGAGGCGTAACCAGACCGACAGCTGATGTGCTCTATAATGATTCTTCATCTTCGGTTTCATTCCTGTAACAACAAACATCGAATATAAAATACGTATGCAGAATATATTACAAACTTTTTGTTTTATTTTTTTAGCTTCAATTTTCTGAAGAAAACATTATTACATATAGAGAGAAACAAAAATATTATATAACGATATCGAACTAATAAAATGTACAAATTAATATATTACAAATGTACGGAATAAAAAGTGAATATGTAATAATAAATATTTTTGTAATTAAATACATAATTTAACAAATTCTGTTTGCTGTTTATTATAATATATAATATTACAAATTACGTTCGTAATATTCATTGCGGAATAGATATGTAAAACCCTAAATGCCAGTAAGAGAAATGGCATATTAGTGATAAGCTGCATATCGCATTCCAAGTAATCCTGTGCAGTCTCCAGTTTTGCACGATAATCTATTTCCGATGGCTTGGATGCAGCTGCAACTCCAGGTCCATGGATGATCTTGTTACAATGCGATGGTGCATGCAACTAACTTGATGTTGCCAAATTCTATTTTATAGCTGCAGGGAAATAGATTTCCTCTTAAAAAATTCCACCAAAATAACTTTTTCAACAGTTGCCAAAGTACAAATTCTCAATATTTTAAGTTTCAAAAGTAAGTCCTAGTAGTACATACTATCGGATCTCTCTTATTTTGCTCTATTATTATTTATTTGTTACTTACAAATTATTATTCCACCCTTTTAACTTGTCTGTGAACTTGGCAAACTCTTATGAGGCCGAGGTTCGATTTTAGCAAGGTTCGCTTTTGCGTTTATAAACAGCCAGGAAGGAATATCCTTGGCTCGCTAGGTCGGGATCTCATATACAGTTTATTTGCTTACGCGTCTATTTCGCTGATTCTAGCCAGCGCTTGTTTTGCCATCGCTGGCTTCCACCGTAAGAGACGCAAAACTCTTTGGAGCGCGCCGAATCGCGCGCGGAAGTCCTCAAAGGAGCTCGCTTTGATTTACGCTTCGCGGCAGCTCGTTTAATATTCGCGGGTACTTTGAAATGGATATGATCTTACTACTTTACGTGCGATACCATATGACTCGTTCGATTACGGAAATGCGGAGATGCGGATGACATATTATACCGATGAACGGGAAAACAGGGAATTTGCTCGATTACTTTTCTGCATCGTTTACTTTTAAATAATGACTGATTTCAAAGGCGAATCAAGTAAGTTTAATCATAGTTAAAGTGTGTGATATAAATGTACCTGTAGACATCCAATATTTAGCGATGGTGTGTGGTGTTTGTATCGGATTGCAATTCTGAGATAGAAATTCTGCATAGAGATTTCGTCCCGGAAATCCGATTATTACAGTTAGCTTCCAAGAGAGAGAGATATATACATCATACATGAGATCTGTTATAGGAATATAGTTATTATTTGCTTACAAAATGTCAGTCGATGTAAAATAATAACTTGCTAACAAAGCTTTTGAAACGTCTCAGGTGATTTTGCAGACAAGTCAAATTGATTTTTGTTGAGATTATAGTATATCGTACTCCAAGAAGAAACATCGTTTGATAATGTAAGCATCTCATTAACAATTAAAATTTGCATTGCATGATCTATGTTATTGCAGGAATTTGCTCAGAAACTAAAGAAATTATTATTTTATTTATGTTATCATTAATAAAAAGCAACACGCAAGAACATTCTAAACTTTATTTATAAGTTATAAGTGTTTTTAATTAATATTTTAATTAATTTTTAAATGACTAATACAATTAATATTGTATATTCTGTTCAGTAAACTTTTTAGCAGTAAGCATTTTTTATTTTAGCCATCTATCTCATTGTAGATATTCGATATCATATTTTCAAAGGTATCGTTAAATGTACGAATGTATATAAATCCAAATATATTGCGACAAAAAGCTAATTTACATGCGATTCAATACACGGATTATTGTGAAAAAAAACGTGAAGTATTTAATCGTGAAAGGACGTTGGAGCTTATAATAAAAAATCGCACAAATCGTTGATGTTAAATTAATCGCTTTCCAGTAATTCCGTCCCTTTATTCCTTCCTTCCTCTTCAAATTGGCAAACACAGATCAATAATTTCAACGAGAGAAATACCATAGTGATTATACAGGAACATTGTGATTTAATGTCGGGGAACAATGGCTATCGCTCATATCCATCCAGATAATCGCTTGTGCAATGTTTGATTAGGTACATGTTCTACATATTAAAATATTAACTTTCTCCCTATTTCTTTGTTTCAAAGTTGTTGCATTTATAAAAAATCGTGACCTATATTATGACCTATATTATTACAAAAATTAAATTTATCAAAAAATATATATATAGTTATTAAAAAAAAGTTGATTAAAACTATCTTTTACGTAACAGCAAAAATCAAATTAATTGATCTTGTTTTTATAGAGAATAAAAAATTGGTATATTCAAAAATTATCTTTTTTTATTTAATCTTTTTTTTAAATGTTTTCTTAATTCTTATATTTCTAATATTTGAATATGAACATACAAAATAGATTAATATTTCATTAATATTTCAAAATAGATTAATATTTCATTAATATTTCATTAATATTTCATTGATGAAATGATAATTGGCTAGCAATAGTACATAATAAGGATAAAAGTAGATAATCTTGCATTTTTTCTTATAAAATACAAACACAAAAATACAAACACAGTTTAAGGTTTTTATATTATCTCTTCAATAAACTTTTGTGAACTTTTTTAGTGATAGCATCTGTCGATATTGGCAAAGTATTTTTCAATAAAGGCTTTTTATCACGCATGTCATATTATATTTAGCTCAATCACGAACGTTAACTTATGAGCAAACTTATCCGAACATCAGTTTGTAATACATTACTAGATCAAAAATCATTATTCTATTATTGATAAATATACTTATTATTTTTCAATTCATGATTCTCAATCTTTTTTTAACTCAAATTAAATTATAATTGTTAAATTTGAAATTTATGATTTATATTTTTTTCTTGCTTGAAAAAAAAGACTACTATAACTGAAGTTCATTAAAGGTTTCTATTATCTTATAATGAAAATTTCTTTCAACTCAAGAAGTTCAATTATTCTTTCCTCTTCAAGTCTTCATTCTTCTCAATTTCTAAATCTTTAAATTAATAAATTATCTTAAATTAAAGTAAAATCTTTAAATTAATAAAGTACTTCTAAACTTTTGAGAGTATCAATCTGATATTTTAATTTCTAGGATTCTCTAAATTTAGAATTCTACGTCTTTATTTCCGTAAATGCAGTTAGATCCTAGGATTTAACTTAATAAAACTGAGAAAATTGTTAAGAGCTTATTTGTAAAAATAACGTATATCACGATGCGCATCACGTTTCCAAGAGCTATCCTGGCCAGGATATCTGTCCTCCAGTGACCCGATTCGAGCGATCGAGATACAGTAGAAGCTTCGAGAATCGATGCAACCAACGTCACTGTGAGTTTATTTCAATTTTCAATCTAATAAGAAATTCTTTCGCGACTATTTTTCAACCCGCCTCGTCTCCGGCGGCTTCCCTACGCGAGGTAGATTTGTCTCTCGATCTTTTTCAGCGACCTCCTACGTCTTCGCTATCTCTCATGGCACCAGCGTCACCCCTTCCGCTATATTTCCCTCATGGAGCTTCCCTATCGCTCACCTTCCTCTTCTTCCTCTCTCAACCCCTCCCCTCGTTCTCATCGTATCGTTGCAGATTCTCCGTACCTTTTACACGACTTATCTCCTGCTATCTGCTACGGTTACCTTCGCCCACGTAGTGATACTCCCCTCCCTTTTACTCCACCACCCTCATTTGTTCCGCAAAATTCTCTGAGAAAATGATAGTATCTTCGCCAGACATATAACCCGCTGCCCGCGGGCGATGATTATTTTACGATCGGCAACTGAGCGCCTGATCGTCTATTTTATTGTACGCTGGATGGACGAATGGACGAATAAGGTTTACGTTTTTTTTCCAAGCTGAGTACGACGGAATTCGTCTTGGAGAGAAGTTGGCGAATTCTCATATCGTTTGTAATATTTTATTAAGAGATCCTCTCTATTATATACACGCACACATACACACCCACATACCTTGACATCATAAAATTTGAGAAATTCTACCCACGTTCATCATTTTAAAGTGTTTTCAGCGAAGAGCTTTGCAATTCGAATGAAATATAAAGGTATGCTGTATGTAGAATTTACTTGATGTTATATCCAAGATACCAATTAAATATAAATTTACTTATTTGGAATTTAACATTTTATATATTTTCAAAGTTTAAACTGCAATATTTTTTAAGCTTTTTAAGAACTTTTTAAAACTAATTGAATCTACCATATTCATTGGAGCTTTTAATAATAAAGTTTTCGGTTCTTTAAGCTTTTTTATCTTTAATCTTTAAAACGCTTCAATCTTGTTCCTCCCACTCTCTCTCTCTC